CCTTATGATTTTGTCATTTCATGGCCTTACCTCCATCAAGTAGATTTTTAAATTTAACTGGAATGAAATTACTGTTTCAAAGAGAAAATGTAAAGTGCACGTTTTGAAGTAGATTTAGGTTCCAATGAAATTTTGCAATCAGGTATATGAATTTAGGAAAGTTTATTTTCTTTTTCTAGGCTTTAAGATTTGCTTATCTATAAAAAGAGAGAAAATAATGGCTATTTTAGAGAACTGGGGGGGGGTGGGGGGGTTTGAGGAATTTAGATTTTAAATTTGAACCACATAGAAACACATTGCTTGACACCTAGTAGACATTCAATTAACCATAGCTATTACCCTCACTACAATATCATAAGTTTCTAACAACGGTAGCATTCACTAAATCCAACAGTCAGGCTGCAAACTTTTACCCATCAAAGATGATGCCTAAAGCAGAAAGGCACAAACTGCCTTCCCAAGGACGGTGGGGAGAGGAACTGTCTCATTACTTCATAGTCTCACAGCCTCTATCTGAAGGAAGTGATGCTTCTTATATCTGGGGACAGTGTCTAATGTCATCTCGCCCCCTGGCAGTCTGTGTGCTCAGGAGGCACTGGCTTTCAAGTGTGGCCCCTTGGGACTTCTTGTGTCACGTCTCTCATTCTGGAAAGGGGAAGAGGTAAAAGAAAAAGGGAAGTCACCGAAATGCAAAACCTGTTACCAGATGTCCTATTCCGTCCTGACTACCGGGCCTGCCTGGGTGGGCTGCAGAGTCGTTTCGCTTAAGGATTTTCAGGCGCCACCCCCAGGTGTTTGTCAGAGCAGAGATGGGGGAGGAGGGTAAGCTCACCCCAGAAACTGAAAGGCAGATGGTGAAGGGTGGGGGGTGCCCATGCGCGTCAGCGCTTTGGCTAAAGGACAGACAGAACAGCAGCGTGCGGGTTCGCACCGGGAGCCTGAGGGGGTGAGAGGCGGGAGTAGAGATCAAGCAAAGAGTCAAGAGAGAACGTCTTTGCGGGGGACACAGAGCATTTCTTTGCGCTCTCAAAAAGGCTCCCCGACTTGTCAGTGTTGCACCCGGAGCCCGCAAGCACGGCAGGTACTTTATAGAGAGAGGCCTGCCCTATTTCCATCTCCGAGATTCAGTAGCTAAACTCAGAGCCCTGGCGAAAGCTGCGGGCAAACAGCGGCTTCGCGGAAAGCCTCAGTCCGGCACACAGCAGGTGAAGCATCCGGCGCGCAGCCTCGCTCCCGCCCACTCCCCGAATCTGTCCTAAGACCCGGAAATGCGCCCTCTGCGCGCCCACGGCCGCGGGCCGCGCACGCTGGCTGCGAGGGGGCGGGCCGCGGCTCCTCCGGAAGCGATCTCCCCAGGCAGCGTTTGCTTCCTGTGTGAGGCTGGCTAGGAGCTCCTGCTGCCGCTCTTTCTGCTCCCAGGTGAGTTGCAAGTTCTTGCTGGTCCCTGTGGCATGGTTGTCGGGTCCCGCTGAGCTTCTTTAGGGACCAGCTTGGATTTGGAAAGCTGAGCAGGAAAGGTCACCTCTCTTTCCTCCCACGCTCTGCCTCCGTGCTGCCCCTCAGCTTCCCGCAGCCCTTGCTATACAGCGGATTAATCTCCAAGGGCGTCCCGGGCCTCGCCTTGGCTTCCGGCCCGGCCCGGCCTAGTCCCTTCGGTCACCGTTGGCTCTGCCTTCATGAGTTATGCCGTTTCCGAGGGAATCTGTAGAGGCAGCCAGGTCACTGCGGGGGTTTGTGGTCGCCCCAGGCGACCCCAGAACCAGGGTCCTAGGCGAAGGGGTCTGTATTGAACCGGGTCTGACTGTCGCACAGGCCCTGCTACCGCTTAGTGCAAAAGCTGAGCTTGTTCTTCAGGCCTGGGCACGCTTTCGCAAGGATAGTGATGTTAATAATAACCTGTCCTTTATGTGAAGGTTGGGAGGCCTGTTATAGGCTGTGTTCATAGGGCCTTAATGTCTGCGAAACTGGGACTTTGGGATTGAGAAAAACTTTGCAAAACATTGCAGTGAATTAAGAGAGAAATACTATATATGAACACTGTACTCTCTGCGCTTAACCTGTCAGTAAATTGCTCATTGAGTAGTACGAGTTCAAAGTTTTCTACCCTGAAATGGACATCTCTTTAAAATGAAACTAGCTGGTATCATGTTTGCCTGACAGATAACGCTGAATTACAGTGTTTCGCGATATTTCTTAGTTGTACGTAGCACCATCTATGTTTATGTACATATGTATATTTATTTTGTTGATCCTAATGTTTATGCAGAATTAAAATACGTTCCCTACTATTGTATGCACATGCAGCCTTTATTGCATATTCTGCTCTAATGGTATTGTTACTCTAACGGCCTTACATGGTGGGTGTATCAATGTCAAATGAATGACAGATGAGTGTACAATAAAGTATATACAATTACAACCTACAAGTAGAAGTTTCAGTTTCATTTCAGGATTTTGAAGTCAATTTAAAAGATGGACTACTGTTTTAGAAGTGGCGACAGGTCTGGAGTACTGTATTACGGTTAATAATTTAAGTATAGAAAAATATATAGTCAACAGAGGTTTTGTGTCTTGGTATTTTTATAGGCTTAAAAATTATTGTCTTGTTTACTGGGATGTACAGATAGTTATCAGCCCTAGTTGTTCAGGTAGTTCAGTGAGCATCCAGTAGATGGCAGTTTTATCACTACTAACTCAAACTTTCAATCAATGAAAACGTTTTATTCGAATATCACTAGTTTTCACAGACTAAATAAGACCCTTATTTTGCTTATTGGTTTATTTTCATCTATGAATAATAGATACCACATGATAATACCACATATCCCAACTGCATTTCCAAATTCGCTCTGTTGGAATAAAGGCTAAAGTCAATTTTTAACTTCCTATAAGAGGTTCCAATATTGTTAACCCATCTTTAGGAATTCACGCTGATGGAAGAAAGCACACCTTGCTTTGTTGCATGAGGAGAGATTTTAATTAGGTGGCTTCTCCCTATATGTTAAAAATATAATTAGTATAATAACCAAACTGTGCATTCCTTGACTAAAGTAATTGTATCTTAGCCATTATTGTTTGCTTAGTATATGATAGACATTATATGCACATGTTCAGCAAGTGCTTTTTTGTATGAATTCGATCACTTAATGTCCCTAGGCCAAAGTTTCTGAAATGAAGTGAAGGCTTACTATTATTTAATTGTTAAGTTTAAGTTAAATAATGTACTGTTGTGAAGTGAATGGCCCCTAGCAGTGGAGAAGTGTGGAACCCTTGACTTTTCTTTTGGAAGTCATTCAGAAGTCTGCCATCAGTTCTGCTGGAATGATTGAATGGAAGGTTTTCTGCAGTTGCAGTTTATCTGTTGAACACCTCATTATTGAATAGCCTGTCTTTTGTATGACAGTTATAAAGATGGGTAAGATATAAATTCTGTTTATAAGGATTTAAACTCTAGTTGAGTAGAATTCATATCACATAAGTTCAATAATAGGGCCAAATGAATAATATAGAGGATTTGTATGATTTAAAGCCTTCATGGAGCAGGTAAAGTTGGTTTTTGAAGTTTGGGTAGAATTTGATTAATCCTAGATGAATGGGGAGAAATGGCCCATCCAGGGTACCACACAACTTTGCTGGAGGGGAAATACACATGGCATTTTCAGATGCCAGTGACTCCAGCTATTGAGAGTTCCTATTGAGAAGTTGTGAGAAGTAAAATGCTTAGAAGTTACTCTTTGGGGCTAGATTGGGATAGTCATTGCTTGGAAATTCTGTAAATAAAGGGAAAGCTTTGGGGTCTTTTTGTTAGGGAGGAGTATATACTCTTGAGTGGAGGGGAGATATCTAAGAGGAATTTAAAAATTGTTGGAGCTATTCCAGTGAGAGGAAATTGAAGAGGATCTCTGAGTAGTAGTAGTGAGAAGAGAAACGATTTTAGAGCTGGAAGGACCAGGGATGTTAATATGCAGAACCTGATTTTTACCTGTTACAGAGCTATCTGTACCAATTCTGATTTATTTCTTTTCACATGAGTGCAACATAGATACTCTCTTTTCTTCATATTGCGTAGCACTCAGCACAGTTCTGTGCTGAGAGTATAATGGCATTATTTGAAGCTGAGATCCTGTCTCCCAAAATGTGATAAGCACATCATCTCTCACAAGCTTATTCTTCTGGGTAGTTATTGTCTTTGACAGGGGTCTGCATGCCTCCTGCAAGCGTAGCTGTGATCAGTGTAGCTGCTCACAGATATATCTAAAATAGGCACTTTCCCTCCTTTTTTTCTTCTTTATCTTGGGTGAGTACTGTATTGTGGTTCAAAAATTTTTGAAGATTCTATTGCTTCATATTTAGCTGGGTTGGAAACAATAGGATGTTGTAAAAAAATTTTAATGTTACTTGTTAATTGGGAAAATGTTATGTTAAAATTTAAACAGGCCTTGAAAACCTTTAAAAGTAAGTATGAGGAAAAAGCAAGTCAGTTCACAGTTTGAATTTCACTCAAAAATTGCCTGGTATACATTACACTTAATAGAAGAAATTCTTACCATCACATTAGTAAAGTATTTCATTGTTGGGCTACCTTTCTTCCATTGGATTGGTGTTATTGTCATTGTTTTTCTAGATTCTCTGAAATAGTTACTTAAAAGCTGTTTAAATGAGTAAATACCTTAAGGTGTATACTGCGTTTTTCAAATAGAATTATTCTCTACTTAAATTATATGAGCTTTTAGAAAAGTTCATTAAGAATTCCCATAAATAAACGGTTTCTGATTTGTTTCTTCAGTTTCCAAGGGGAGCTTAAAATGTGTTTGTTTATTTAACATTTAAAAATCTATTTCTCCTTAGACTAAAGCACTTTTTTAAGGTAGGTCATGTTGAATTTGACTAGAAGTTAGTTTTTCGTGCTTAGTTTAAGCTAATTATCAATCTCTCAGTTTTAATGAATCTAGTTATTACCTTGTGACATTTCTGTTTGTTTTTTAAGGTTAACAATCAACATGGTACATGCTGAAGCCTTTTCTCGTCCCTTGAGTCGGAATGAAGTTGTTGGTTTGATTTTTCGTTTGACACTATTTGGTGCAGTAACATACTTTACAATCAAATGGATGGTAGATGCAATTGATCCAACCAGAAAGCAAAAAGTAGAAGCTCAGAAACAGGTATGGTTAAAATATTTGAGGATCATTTTTCTTGTAGCCAGCAAATATTTTTCTATAAAACTAAGGATATAGTAGAATTATAAATTAGTGAGAAGTTCTATAAGACCCACATGAAGATGTATTTTTGTCATATTTCATTATTCCTAAAAGAGTATTTGTTTCTCAAATCCTTTTTGACTATGTAAGCAACTTATCAGAAGAAAAAATGAAGAATAAAAATATTACAGTATTTTTTTGTAAACATCCTCATTAGAATATTTTTGTCAGCTTATAAATGAAGGAATCTAGGTAAAGTTTTTCGAGAGACTGTAAACCAAAAAATGTGTCTTCAGTAAAGGTATTTTGCTTTGTATGACATTTGAAATGTGGATAATACTGACAATCTGTCAGTTTTAGACTTGCAAACTACACTAATTTCTAATTAAAGAATTGCTAAAAGATGTTATTATTAATATAAGTTTTAGTTTTTATTTTTTCAGCTACTTCCCTTTGTGATCATTTCCTTATTAGGATGATGTATTTTTTTTGGTTTTTATTCTTTCTCAAAAAAATATAAGCCTTATAGGAATCCTTCAGATTTTTCTTGCTGTTTGAGGACAAGATGTTCATATTCATGGAATTTTGGATTTCTTCTGTGAGTTGTGACATTGATGCATTTAGTAAACATTTATTGAGCTCCTAGCAAATGCTTGGTGCTAAGGATGAAAGATGAATAAATTTTGTTCTTTCAGAATGCTGTAGGCTAGTTTGGGAAATTGGGATATAAATAAGTGACTGTTTTACAGTGTTATGCATAGCTCTTAAATCAGTGAAAACCACAGTTTCATAAATACTGCTTTCTGTATATATATGAAAAGCAATTTGGAATTGTGAGTTTGTTCTTTGATTTTGATTGTAAAATAGTTGACTCAAGGTCTAAATTATGTCATCATATCAATCAATTCATAATATCAAATCAGTTTACTCTCAGGAATTATGACTGGTTTGGTTTTTAAAAAATTAGAGTATATCCGTGTGTCCCCCGAAGTGCAGCTTTCCCCCCCACCTGAATCATGAGAGTCAGTCTGAGGTCAAAATATTGATAAGTAAGATTTTCAGAATTTTTAAAAGCAGAGATATGACTTTTAAACAGGGAATTTTTGTCATTTATTTTCTTGGCATTTACGAGCCCCTAGAACACACATACAGAAGACATGGAGAAAGCCAAATATAGATATTTAAGTAATGTTTTAATGGATTGTTATCATTAACCTTTTACTGAAAACTCTGTGTATTGTATTGTTCTAAATATCAGGTCTATGAAGTATTAGGCACCCTGTCTGTCCTCATAGTGCCCATGGTAGGGAGAAAAGACTTGTCCGTGATAATATAAATTATAATAGTAAGTACCATATCCTAATTGCCTAATGAGTTGTATAGATAGAAACTATGGCATTTAGGGGAAACATTCACTAATAATTGAGGCAGTTGAGGATGGCTTCATGAAAAAGCTTGGCCTCTAGAATAGGCAAGGACAATTTTAAGTAGAAAGAAAATCATAAACAGAGTCATGGTGGGTGTAGGAATAATAAGACCTGTTAAAGGAACCGTAAATAGACTAGTCATGTTGGGATAGAGAGTTTATGCAACTAACTAGGAGAACCTGGAAGGAGGGGAGGTAAAGGACTAAATGGACCCAGAGTATAAAGTTAAAGAACAGAGCTCTACTTTTTTCCTTACTCAGTCCTTTTAATGTTTTGGTCAGTGGATAGAGGCTGATAAGAAATGCTCAGCATTTGAGAAGTCCATCATCAACTGAGAAGGAGGCATGCTTTTTGCTTGGCCCCAGGGCTATAGCTTCTCTGTTTTTCTGCCTCTTTTCCTTCCTTGCTTCCCTGGCCAACTATTGAAATATGCTATTGGCCAGTTGACGTCTTCTGTATAGGGAGTGGTAAACCATTAAAGATTTTTAAGTAGGTGGGTGCTGTGCAAAGCAATGTTTTAAGGATAATTTCCCTACAGTAATATATAGCAGGAATTGCAGTCAGTTAGACTGAAAGCAAGATCCCTTGATTATCGACTGCTATAGTCCTGGCAAAGACCTAGAATAAGTCCTTTGACAAAAGGAGTGGAAAGGGGGAAATAGACTAATAAGAATGAATACTGGAAGGACTGTGTGATGAGATGGGAAAAGAAAAAGGACGTCTTACGAATGAATCCAAAATTTGTCTGGAGTCCTCAAAGACTCATAGTGTCTGTTATAGAGGTTTAGGAACTGGTAGATAGAGCAGGGTTATGGAAAAGATGACATTTGATTTGGGCATATTGAGTTTGTGTTGATGGTAGGAATCTAGAGGCAAATGTTCAACCAGCAGTTGAAATTGTGAATCTAAATCTCAGAAAAAAAGTCAGTCTTTAGAGGTTCTTCATCAGATGCTCATAAGTAGTTGGACTCATTAGAGTAGTGAGTCTCACTGGGCTGCCCCAGGGTTATTCCCGTGTAGATATGTATCATTTGTGGAGTTGTCTCCAAACCACTCCTCCACTTTCCTCTTACAACCATCAAGATATATACATTCAGATATTTACTGAGAGCTTCTTATGTAATTGTCACTTGATAGATGGACTGTGTTGACAGTAATGAGGTCTGTAAAGGAGATCTTACAAAACATCATAAATAGTAGGCTGAAGAGTAAGCCTTCATTTAGCGACTGGGAAGATGATGTGAAGCCAGTGGAGAATGTATAGGTCAGTATGGGTAATTAGTTACCCGGACTGACCTTCCTGCTGAAAACAACTAAACAATCTAGATAAAATATTTTTTCAAATCTTCTTAAAGGCATTCATGAGCGAGTAAGAAATTCAGATTAAAAACTTACAGCAAATATTCAGAAAGATGAGCTTGATGGCCAGCTTTCACATTGGGAGAATTTGCTGAACCTAAAGACCCAAAAGAGCTTAGGATACAAAGCACAGGACCAATCCAAGGTAGAAAGTTTCAGACTGTACTCCCATAAATCTTTGACCCCAAAAGAGTACGCCCTGTGTAAGTAATTCAGCTAAAGACAAAGCTATATGAATGGTTTAAAAAGAGAAATTTAAGCCATATACTAGTTGAAGTGACGCATATAAAGTGTAGATAACAGAAAGTTTGAAAATAAAAGGATGATAAATGCATATACAGTACAAATACAAAGAGAAAGCTGGTTGAACAAAAGTAAACTTTAAGGCAACAATATTATTAGAGGAAATGAGGTTCATTACAGAATGATTAAAGATTCAATTCACCAGGAAATACAACATTTCTGTATTTATGTGCATCTATTAATGTAGCCTCAAAAATATATAAAGCAAAAAATTGATAGAACTACAGGGAGAAATAACATATCCATCATGATGGTGGGAGATTTTTAACGTTTCTTTCAATAATTGGTAGATGAAACATTTTTTAAAAATCAGTAAGGATGTGGAAGATTTAAACAAATAACAAGCTTTATCTAGTGGCCTTGTATAGTATATTGTACCCAAAACAAATGCAGAGTACATATCTCAAGCACACATGTAAGATTTGTGAAATTGAATCAAATGCTAGATATAAAGCAAATCTCAAGTTTCACAGTACTGGCAGCATATTTATTACCTTCCCTGGCTATAGTGCAGTACAGAGGGGATCATTAGAAACATCCAGTAAGTTTGGAAAATAGGAAACGTTTCTAAATAACTCCTAGGTAAAAGAAAACACAATGGAAATTAGAAAATATTTGTAATTGAGTTAAAGCTAAAATATTAGGTAGTATTTCGAGAGAAATTGATAGTCTTAAGTCTACATTAGAAAAGAAGGTAGAAATTTAGTAAAATAAGTATCCAATTTAAGCTGGATGAAAGATTTTTAACAATAAACCCATAGATAATGAAAGAATGAACATAATAAAGATAAGATAAATTCATAGAAAACAATGTACAATAGAGAAGAGAAATATAGGAAATGAATACACAATAGAGAAAATCAGTAAAACTAAAAGTTGGGTATTTGAAAAAGCTAAGAAAATTGACACTTTTGTAAAACCAATCAAGAAAAAAATGAAGCTGCCAATAAATATTACCAGGAAAGATAAATGAGACGTTAAAAGTAAGGACAGTTAGGGCTGGCCCCGTGGCCAAGTGGTTACGTTCGCGCGCTCCACTGCAGGCGGCCCAGTGTTTCGTTAGTTCGAATCCTGGGCGCGGACATGACACTGCTCATCAGACCACGCTGAGGCAGCATCCCACAAGCCACAACTAGAAGAACCCACAACGAAGAATACACAACTATGTACCGGGGGGCTTTGGGGAGAAAAAGGAAAAAATAAAAGAAAAATCTTTAAAAAAAAAAAAAAGTAAGGACAATAATTATGTCAATAAATTTGAAAACCTAGATGATATGGACAAACTCTTAGAAAAATATGAATTAGTGTAGCTGATCTAAGAATTAGAATACATGCATAATTAGTCCCATACTATGAAATAAATTAATATTGGAAATATACTTCCATAAAGAAAATTTTAGGCCCATGGAATTTTACTGGCAAATTCTAGCAACATTAAGTCAGAGTGTAGAAAAAGAGGTAACACTCACCAAACCATTTTATGAGGGTAGCATAACAACAATTCCAAAATTTGTAATGGGCTGTAATTTATCTCATGTGTAAATGAATGTAAAATCTTAAACAAAATATTAGCAAGCTGAATTCAGCAGCGTATTAAAAAAATAAGATATGACCAGTTGGATTTATCCCGCGAATTAAAGACTGGCTTCATTTGCGGGTAAAAAATAAATATAATGTTCTGTATTGACAGATTAAAGGACAAAACTATGATTATCTCAATAAATGCGGAAAAAGCTTTTGTTAAAATTAAACATTCATTCTTGGTTTTTAGAAGAGCTCTTAGTAAAATAGGAATAGAAGATAATGTCTTTAACCTAGTAAAATGATTTTATTACAGGAAACATACTTCATGGTAAAAAATTGAAAGCATTTCAT